AGAACAGCTCTGCCTGCCAACACCAGCCGCCATCACGTCTCCCTACTGCCGGCTCCCCCCAAGTGTTTATTTAAGCCAACACATTGCTCTGCTAATTGGATAACATTCCATGTGAAAATAGACCTTTTAAAACAACAGCAGCGGCGGCAAATAAAAACAGCGGCAACTGCAAAAGTACAAAGGCGCGGCGGGCTCGGGAAGGGAGAAATTAAAGGCACATGCATGGGAAAAAAATTAATATTCTGGTTTCCGGGCTGCGAGTCCACTCTTCCCATCCTTTTCTCCCCCGGGACCAGCCTGCTCCGGGCAAAGAGAGAGGAGGGGGTTGCTGCGGAAGAGAACCCCAGAGGCTACCAGGGGCCCTCTCCGAGGCCAGGCTGCTGTCAGGCTCGGGGGACTGGAAGCTGACATGCATGCTGGTGGGGCTGATATTGGGGTGCTCGCCCCTTCTCTGGGGGTGGGGAGCTCCTTTCAGCGTGGGTGTGCTCCCAAGAGATGCTCTGCCCTCCAGCCCCACCGGAATGTCTCTAACTGGCAAGTCCTCTCTGCTGTGCGCTGGAGAGAGGAGGGGCTGGCACTCAGCGTAAGTGACATGAATGCGGAGGGCGGGCCCTGGATACACGGGCTTCGGCATCTGGTCAGCACTCGGGCTGGCTCTGCCCCGTCCTGGCTGCATGATCCCGGGGCCAGTGACTTGACCCTCTTTGAGCCCCAGTGTCCTCAGGTGTCAAATGCCACCCACCACCAACTTCCTGGAGTCCTAGGAGGATGGAGAGTGACAAATGTGAATGCCTAGCACCCCCCTGCCAAAGACAGGCTTTGAGAAGTTGACGGTTTAGATCAATGCCAAGACGTTACCCTTCTGGAAACATCAGGGTGGCTCCTGGGACAGGGAGAGAGCATGCATGGGAGCCAGACTCAGGCCACCCAGGGAAGACCATTTGGAATGGTTCGAGTCCTTGACTTCAGTCTTCCTTCGTCAGCTTCCGTCCCTCCCACTCCCCTCCACCTTGAGGGGGAAGTTCTTTGAGAAACATCAGCTCGTCACCCTGGAGTTTTAGGGAACACGGGCACTTCCAGAAGGACTGACGCTTACTGCCCCAGATACCGAGGGCCGACAAGCGTCCTAGGATGGGACAATGTGCCAGGTTGCTGACCTTGTGATGAGAGGGATGGGTCTCCTGCGTAGCACCTCGGCCCCGGAGCCTGGCTGGAAGCCAGGCCCCCACAGCCTGGGCTTCTGGTTGGTTCATGGGGATCGATCCATGGAATTCGGTCCACGGGGATCAGTCCACAGAGCTCCGCAGCAGCTACACAGATGGAGCTCGGTGGCCGTGCAGAAGGAGTGATGCAAACTTCCCACCCCGTTCCCGGGGCTGCTGCAGGCTGGGGCAAGACGATGCGGTGTGGTGTACAACACGTGTGTGCATGTCACATACAAAGCCGGCACGGTTGGCCGCGGGAGCCTCTGGCTATTGTCATCAGTTGCCTGGTTACCCAGAGCTCTGCCACCACAGCCTCTGTGGAGCCTCGTGCTAGGATTCTTTCCAGTTTGGGGGTGTGTGCTTGACCCAGAGAAGCCTGACGGATGACAAAGTCCCTGATCACATGCGGGGTGGGACACAGTGTCATGCAGAAAGGTCAGAGGACTCAGTGCTGGGCACAGGGGCGGCACAGACAGGGGCGTGTTGGGGCCCCAGGAGACAGTGGTGCTGAGGGGGTGCCTCTAGGGACCGACCAGGCCTAATTCTCTCCTCTGCCGGGTGGCGAATGGGCTGGTTGGTGCTGGGGAAGGAGCACTGGACTGGGAGCCGACTCAGCTGGATTCGGACCCCAGCCCCACCCAGAAACCATCAGTTCCTCAGTTGCTTTCCAGACTCCTCACTATGCAGTCCGCTGTTCATGACCCGTCCTACCTCCCCCCGCCCTGCTCCGATCTGAGCACTGCCCAAGCCGCTAGGGGGAGGCGCCAATGCCGGGTTCAAGGGTTGGTGATGCCAAGAGTGACGACCTCTATCTCCACAAGGGCGTCCAGCCAGGCAACAGGAGTGAACCCATGGGAGGGATTTGTGTGGGTCAGGGATCAGTGGAGCCCTGGAAAGGCTTCTGAAGGAGGTCTCCTTCCTCAAGGGCTTCCGAAGGAGGAAAGCCACATGGGAGAAGCGCACTGGGGGAACTGGGGTCAGGCAGGCAGGTTCCCTTAGCATTCCCACAAATTCCTTCTGCAGAAGTAGACCGAGATCTTGGGGCGTTCTGCGCAGTTGAGGTCTCCTTATGGCCTTGCGCTCCCTCTTCAGCCTCACGCCCACCCTCGCGTTGGCTCGACCCGCACTGTGGTCGGAATTCTATTCACCAGAGTGCAGCACGCACGCCTCTCTGGGTCAGCGGCAGACGCTAAACACGCCACTCAGAAAACAATAAAGTTCTTCAGACAGACACAGAGAAGGAGAGGGAGAAGCAGCTTCCCCGGGAGGCAAAAAGAGCAAAAGGCTATCTGCAGGGAAGACACGCTCACTCCCAGTGGGTTCACACCTCGGGAAGGGCCGGCTCGTAGGGTGGCAGCCGTAGGGGAGAGCTGCTGTGGGGGGACGCGAGGGCCACAAGTGGCCCCAGAGCCTGGCTGGCCGCCTGTCAGAGCCAAGGGGCGGGAGGAGCCAATCCCGGAGGGGCTGGGGGTCGAGTCCTTCCCGGCCTCCCCTGCCCTTTCCCCCCCGGGGGCCCAGAATGGGGGGGGGGGAAGGGGTGGGGGGGGGAGGAGCCACTTGCACGAATCCCCAGGGCTGGGCTGGTGGGCCTTGGGAAATAGCTTCTGCAGCCCAGCTCTGGTGACAAGAGCTGCCCAGCCGGGCACTTGCCCTGCCCCATCTACCTGAGGGGCCCCTTCTGTCCCAGGGATCCCGGAGGACACAGCTGCCCTGACCACATCCCGGCGATGTGGCACACGGAATGGGAGGCCGGGAGCCCTTGCCCCGCCTGACCCTCCAGCCCCAAGAGCCATGTCCGTTCTGACAGCAGCCTCTGCCCCAGAGAGAGGTCGCTGTGTGGAAGACGACTGCCTTCCAGCTACGGGGCTCAGACACCTCTTCTCTCCGCTTTGTCCCATCCCTCCTCCTTCTTAGATCGGCGCCCTCGACACCACCTTCCTCATTGTTGCAGCTAACAGACGGAGCTCCCAGGGCCAGCGCCATCCTAAGAATACTACCCCATCCAAACCTCACGACAACTCGATGAGGAAAACCCTATCACCCTCTCGCAAGGGGGGAAACTGAGGCCCACAGAACGTAAGGCACGTGCCCCAGGTCACATGACAGGTAGTGGCGGGGCTGGGATTCCAACTCAGGAGGCCGGCTTCCGAGTCTGTGCTGTAACGAGCTCCCTAGGAAGATGCAGCTCTTGGAGGCGGGGAGTAGATTCTCCCCTGCTCACGATCTCACACAGGACCCCCGATACCAGATAGGCGACAACAACAGCTTGGCACCCTCACTGTCCAGCCCCTCAGAAGCCTCGAGCTCGATGGAAGGCCAGGGAGAAAACACCGCCCTGGGCTTCCCTCCCCTCTGGCTGGGATGAAGGCACAGCGGCCATCAAGGCAGCAGGGCTAGAGGTCACGGCGAGGCAACGACTTTCTGGGCTCCAGCACAGCATGCCAGGGTCTCACGCATGCCGTCTGCCCACACCCTGCGAGGCTGGGACCTGGTTCCTACTGCCGTCTTACAGCTGAGGAACCTGGGGTGTGGGGCAGGCTCGGGAGGCCAAGCCGCCGATGGGAAAGCGCTCTGGATGGCTGCCCTCCGCGACTGCCCTCTGAGCCAACACGGGTCCCCCAACGCAGGTCCCTGCTGACGGGAACTGAGGCCAGGCAGGGCCTGTTGCGCACGGGGGTGCTGCCCCTGCTGCCATGGACAGGAGGCAAGGGAAAGGCTGCCAGCTGAGAAGAAAGGGGAGCAGATGTCCGGACAAATGCGGCCACGTGTCAACAAAACAGGCACTTGAGTTCAAGACGCCGAGACAAAGGTGGCTGGCAAGGCTCCCCGAGGTCCCAGGAGTGCCCTCTGTGCCTGTGCGTGTTCCCAGGGCCCACAAAGGCTGCAGCTGCGTCCCTGAGATGTCACCTTTGGCTCCACCCACCGGGCCTCTGGTGACAGCAGCTCGCTAAAGGCCAACGGGTGATTCTAACCAACACCCCTGTTTTCCTAAAGGACACCTCATGAGATGAGGAGGGGATCCCGCCTGTCACTTCACCGTACTCTTGAGGAAAGAGGAGGCCAGTAGAGGGGAAAGGCACAGGCTCCTGAGGGAGCCCCCAGACATAGCTGGACCCTGATCACACCGCCTCTGCTCCCACATCCCACATCTGCTGCTGGGCTGGGCCCCGCACCCACAAGAGCGACCCCCACTCCCCAACCCAGCCCCATGCTGCCCCGTGCCCCAATCCGAGAGGCCACCTTGCTTCCAAAGTGAAAGATTCTGCCTCCAAGGAGCCTGGAAAATTCTGTACCCGTGCTTATACACATGCCTGGGATGACCTCACCTATAACCGGCACCACCGAGAGGCCCTGGCCACAAGTGGGAAGCCGAGGGGAAACACATGGGGGTCCCTGCGGACATGTCTCCATTCCCAAGTGCTGGTCCCCGGCCCCTGCCACGCTACATGGCCTCTCCCATGCTATCTGCCTCCGGGCGCTCATGACCAGGGAGCTCTGTCTGAGCTGGGGAGGCCCGGGAAACCCACTGGCCTCCCTACTTTGTATCCCCAGTTTCCTGAGGATGTCACGTTGGGGAGGGACAGAGGGTAGGGGACACAGAACTAACCCTTCCTCCAAGTACAAAACCCAGGGCCTTTTTTCCCGAGAGAGTTGCACAAATTAGCAGGGTCAGGGAACAAGCAGGAGAACCACACGGGGCAGTGACAAGCCCTCATCCGTTAAGAGGTTTAGCTGCTTCTCCTACTAAGGGCCCCGAACAGAAGGGGGGGTGGGCAGGGAAGGGCTCCGTCTCACCTTTGCATCCTGCTTCGTGAGGAAGTCCACGAAGCCGAACCCCCTGTGTGTCCCCGTCCCGGTCATCTTCTTTGGCAAGCGGACGGTCTTCAGCTCCCCGAAGGTGCTAGAAACAAAAGGCAAAATGCAGCAGCTTAAGAATGGAGGCCTGCAAAGGGGCTGGGGTATGTGTGGGAGGATAGGACCCACTCTCACATATGTATCCTTTCTGGTTAGAAGTATGTGAGGGGGCATATGCGCGTGTATACACACACGCACGCACATGCACTTGCGCGCACCGTACAACAGGGTTGCCTCCCCACTGGCCAGCACATGCTCGGGGCCATGACTGTCCTCCTCTCCCCTTTCAGATCCCGGCCATCACGCTGAGCAGGGAGGGATGATCGGGTTGGAGATGCTGGTGGAGAATGTTTGGTTCCTCTCTGACAGGATGGCACACTTGGCCTCCCCTTGCCTGTGGGGCTATCTGGCAGGGGCCGGGGGTGGGGGGGGGGGTGCAGCCCTGCACACGCGTGGCCAGGGCACAGGGCTGCTCGTGGGCACGAGCCTGGGATCTGGACGCCAAGTCAGCGGGGTCTCCTGACCCGAATCTGCCTGCATGGCTGAGCCTGTGTGGAGCGAGCAGGACGAGTCTCTGCTCCCGGTCCCGGTGCCCGGGATGTTTCTCCAGTGCTCCGTGCTGGAAAGACACACAGCTACTCCCTCTAAACCCCACGTCCCCTCCCTCTGGGCTATAGTTTCGATATCTGCGACGCCCAAGTCAGGCAAAGCTCTGGAGGAGAAGACGGCTTGGATCCCCACAGCAGGGATCAAACAGGTAAACACCGCTTGGACCACCCCTGCCCTCTCCCGCACCCTCTCCTCCCAGATCAACGTTCGAGAAATGCCCGGACAAAAGGATCACAGGCCCCTCTGGCTCTCCTGTCTCGCTCCCCCCACCCAACCCTATCCCGATGTCCATTTATCAAATATATATGCACAAATTGCTGCGGGTAAATATTTAATGTGCGCGGGATCTGAAGAGGTGTTATTCTATTTGAAAAGCTGTGCGCACTTGCGGGTGGCTGGGCACACGGCGCACACGCTCAGCGGCCGAGGATGCTTCGGGGCCAAAGACCGATTGGGTAAAAACACAGTAAAGGCCGTAAGCTCTCGTGAAATGATATAAGCTAAATCCGAGGTGCGAACCCGGAGCCCCGCCAGCATGACCAGGCATCTGCCAGCCCAATTTCCGAAGGCAGGATGGTGTGTAAATGCGGCATTATGATTCCTCAAAATGAATCCGCACGTCTCTCCTCCGAGCTCCCCCAGCCGCTCCCCCCAGGCTAGCGAGGAGGCTGGCCTCCTGGGGAGGGGAGGGGCCGGAGGGGGTAGGCCTCGGAGCCCTGTCAGTCTTCCTGGCCTGGCTGAGGCTCTGGCTCCTTCGGAGGAGGGGGCGTGAGGGGGCGCGGCTGGGGGCCCGGAGGCTGGGCAGGTGGGGACAAGCAAGAAGGTGAGGTGGGAGGGCCGGAGGAGTCGAGCCTGCAAAGCCTGCTTTATTCTGCCACCTAAAGGCCAAAGCGTGCCATGACAGGCACTGCCTCTCCGTCCAGGGAGGGCAGCGGCCAGAGGAATTTCCATGTAGGCTCCTTCAGGTAAACGGTCCATTGGCTCCGAGATTTTCAGAAAAGAGAGATGTGGGGACCGCAGGGATGTTGCGTCTGATGGCCACGAGGACCCAACGATGACAGCACTCAGACTCAGCAGGTAAGAGAAGGCCTCAGCCAGCACCTCCCACGTATCCAGGCCATGCCAGGGGCCCTGCAGACAAGGGTGCGACGACCCTGCCCCAGGCTCCTGCAAGCCTTGGCTTCACCACTGCTTACTCCAAGCAGCCTTTGCTCACCGCCACCCCCCTGGCTGGCCTGAATGGCCCCCCCACAGTCAGGGGTCACCGCGCTTCTCCACTAGGGCCCTGCGGTGTGGACGCGGATGCGCTCTCCACCACCCCGAGGCGGGTGCTCAGTTCTGCAACTGCAGAAACCACATCTACTTTGCTTTTAAGGGGATCCGCAGCCAGGAGCCCGCTGCCCGGCCTGGAGGTGATGCCTGGTGGCATTTTTGGACTGAACAGACAAGCCCACGGCAGCCCCGGGCCGCAGACACAACCACTGGTATGTTACCACCCACACCCCAAGGGCTGTGCTGAGGGGGACATGGCATGGGCCACGGGGTACGTACAAATAGCACACGTGTTCCTTAGTAGTCCTGCCACCCCCATTTCACGGATGGGGAGACTGAGCTCAGGGAGCAGCGGTTCTGGCTAGCAAGGGGCAGGCTGAGGACATGAGCCAGAGCTTTCTTTCCCCTGAAGTGGTTCGTGGTCCTTCTGTTACCTAGATGCGGTCTGGCCACCTTCTGGACTGGGGGTCTCTTTTGGAGGCGTAAAGGCGGAGCGGGGTGGCTGGAGTGGCCTGCGTGGACTCCAAGGGATCCAGTGACTTAGTCAACACCCCACGGCAAGAGAGGGAGACTGAATCCCAGTTCCTTCCGCTCCCGCCATGTGTGAACCGGTGGCCTCTGCCCGCAGGGATTTCAGTCCTGTCCCTTGATGGTCCCGATGGCCTCTGCCCTGATTTCCTCGTAGCCCCATCTAATTTGTGGTGAGTTAGCCGATGTGAGTGTGTACGTGACAGAGCGGGGCGGAGGGGAGATGGCTGAGGTGCACTCTTCCCTCCGCAGCACACCACGAGCTGCGGATGCTCTGTGCATGGCAAGCAGCTCAGGGTCCGGAGAAAGGCAAGGAAAATAATTAAAAGGTAGAGAGAAAAGCTGACGAGGAGAGGCTGAAGGTGGTGTGTTCACATGGCCCGGAGACGAGGCATCTCAGAGCTCTGTGGGGGGGTGGTCCACAGCAGAGAGGGGCCCTGCAGCCACGAGGGACCAAGCGCACAGCTCCGGGGCTCCCGTCCCGGGCAGCTGGGGGGCCCTGGGGAGGTCGCAGCCCCCGTCTGCATGGCACAGAACACGGCTTCAGAAATCCCGTTATTCTTCAAGGGGACCTGGGAGACGGTCCCGATGAGCATGTTTCCTCCTTTCCTCTAAGAACAGCATGAGAGAGAGCCAGACCTTGAGGGGCAGCTGCAAGATTAGGGTCAGATCTTCGAAGGCGCTTCCTGATGTCTGGGAAGCCCTGAGATGAACGGGCGAGGCTTCGAGACACCACAACCGCTGCCGTGGCCCCAGCCACCGATGACCCGGTGCCCGGGGCAGGGGGGTGCTCGGCCTTTTTTAAACACACCGTTTCCAGGTGTAACTGCCTGGATTCCCCAGGGGAGAGAAACCAGAGGCTGGAGCGGCCAGGCGACCAGGCTTCGTCCCCTGGCCACGCGCTTTCTCCCGGCTGCCCCTTCCCCGGCCCGAGAACAATGCTGGGAAGGCGGCCGGCTCCAGACGCTTGTGTGACTGTGTGGGATAATATAAGGCTGGTACTAATGATCTCAGCGCAATACCGAAAGCGAATTAAAAAGCAAAAGCAAAAAAAAAAAAAAAAAAGGTTGCGGGGGAAAAATCGATGAAGTACCTTTAGCTCCTTGGAGATAAGCGATATATAAATACCAGCCATTACTAAGGTTCTTATCTGACAGGAAGGTCCACAGAGCCATTTTTAAGAGCGGCTTTTGAAGGAAGTTCTGCATGTACCCTCGTCTCCGGGGAGCAGAGGCCGCCACCAGGGGGAGGCCGGGCAGGGCCGCCAGGGACCAGAGAGGGAGGGAAGTCAAGGGGCACCCAGGAGCTCCCCCGCCACCCAGCCCAGACCCCACCGCTAAGGGAAGGAGCCGCGTGCGCTCCCCACTGTGTAGATAATAGAAACCACAAAATAGCAATTACTGTATCAGAAGCTGTGAATAAAGAGGACATACCGGGCTTTTAAACATGGCCCTCCTTCCCTCCCCCACCACGCTCACACTTCATAACAAACTCACACCTCACTTTTCCAATTACTTCATTCACCTTGGGTTCACCAATTACTTCCCCACGCCGCAGCCCCACCCCCTCTGCCGCACCCACAGCGCAGGATTGCCGGCACACCGGTGGGCTTTCCACTACTGGAGTTTGTTGTCACGTTTCTAATTTCTTCCGAGACATGTAGGGGTGGGAGGGAGCGAGGGGAGGGAGAGATGGGAGGGGGTGTGAGGTGTTGAGTGAGGCGAGCCAATTATGCCCAGCCCTCGTAAACAGGTCTGGGCATGCAAATCAGGTCTGCACTACAGGCCTGAACACAGACACAATACGTGTGTGTGCGCGCGCACGCGTCTGTGCCGTGGGTGCATGTGGGGGTCTCCTCCCTCCGTGCTCACTGCGAACCCCCCAACTGGACTCCAGCCCTGGCTGGGGTTTTTGGCTATGCTCCTGAAAAGGGATGAATCCTCCTCTCGCTCCCCTCCTTGTCCGAAGTGATGGGATCAGGAGAAAGGAGCAAGGGGAGAGGTGAGCGGGAGGCGGAGAGGACCCTCCAGAGATGCAGAACTTGACGGTCGTGCCGCTGCTCTGGTGCCTGGGTTCTGGGGCCTAATGAGCTGACTGTCAGGCTGGCCTGCCCCTCTGACCTGTATGCTGACACCAAGTGGGGGTCAGGCACACCTTGAAGAGCCTCGGCCCCTCTGCTCCCAGGACCTAAGTCCTTATCACTCTCCTCTTTGGATCTGCCAGAGGAACCCGCAGCCCAGCAGAAGTGCCGAGTCACGTGGGGAAGTTTGTTGGCATGACCTCTCTTCCACCTGCGCTCAAGGCACTGCCGAGGGGGGATAAAAATACCAGCTGTCACCCAAGGGACCCAGAGTCACACAACAGCATGGTCTCGACAAGATAAAGGGGTGGTTTGTGGTAAGAATAAACCCCAGGCTTCTTTCCCTTCCTTCTGGAGGTAAGAAAAAAGGGCTAAATCTCTTGGCAAAACAAGGCTTTCAAATACACCCCCACCACCAGCACCAATTTTCCGATTTACCAGCATATCCACCCGTCCCCCTGGGACTTCCGGGCTGTGGGCCCCCCAGCACGTGAAGCATCTGCTGGACACGATCTCCCAATGGCCTTAGGAGGTGGGCATCGCCACTCCTGTTCTGT